TATGGAATTATTCATCATTTTATGTAATTAAAATAAAATAAAACATAATAACATGTTTTTCTTTTGACTGAAATGTGAAATAATGCTACGATTTGCACTACGATCAGACATAAGCAACCAGTCTTCTTTCTTTTGCACATTTAAACTCACACTTTATAATCAAATAAAAATAATATAAAACTTAGCAAAAGTTTTTTTAATTCATTCTTAAGCAAAGCTCTTTGCAATATTTTTTTCTTATTTCCAATAGGCATTGTAATATTTAACACTAAATAGGGCATTGTAATATTTAATACTAAATTATTTTTAAAAGTTTTTGAATGAGTTCAAAACAATTAATTCAAAGGGGAAGAGAACTTATTCAGCAAGATGGAACTGGACTTTACAAATGCTTTTTTTTAATTATATGAAATAATTCCACTGCATAAAATGTAATCTATCATACATCGGAATAATTTTAACAATATACATATAATATATAAATAAATATATTTATTATTGTCAAAAAAATACCCTTGAAAAAATTATGAAATATTTTTAAATATCATGATCAAATTCAACAAATTACTGAATTTATAAAGGAACTCAAAACATAAATATTCATACAATTTGATATTTAAAGGAATTGCATACCTGGACCATTAAGAGCAGATAAAACAAATATATATAGTCGACACTCACTATACTTTTTGAAAGATACTAATCTTTTCTGTAAAAAAAAAAAGTACATTAAAAGATATCGTAATTTCTAAAGCCTAAATAAAAAAGTAACTTTTAATCAGAAAATAAACATTCATGATATTTTAATGTAATTGGTTTAGCAATTTTTTGATTGACAAATATAATTAAAATAGCAAAGATACAGTAGAGTAAAACAACAACATTATTATCTTAAAAGCTAAACTAAACTCAGAAGTACAACAGCTCAAGGAGAACAAAGACCTACTGTACCCATCCTGGTTTTCTTGGCATCTGGGCTCTGGGTTACAGCAGCAGATTTTACAATTGAGTTGTCAACCAAATGTGGAATCCTCAGAGTTTAATCCTCACGCATGTTTGGCACTCATTTTATCAAGCAACTGAAAGCAATGAAAGGCTTAGTTAACCTTACCTGGACTGAAAATAGAACCCAGGACTTTTGACGTGCTACCTCTAAACCATTGGGCATGGGCATTTACTATAGAAGCCACATTATTATAATTTAGTTTTTTTAAGACTATATTTGAAAGAAAAACCAGAAAGACAATTTAAAGCTGAGCTCCAGAAAATGTTGAATTGAGTGAATATAATATAAAATACTATAATACTAAATATTGAAAGGTCATTTTTTTTGTAGATATAGCTATAGCTGCATTGAGAAATACAAATAGCAAAACATTCTGAATTGAAGTACATATATCAAACTTACTAATAAATGAACAAACTTGATTTAATGATAAAAACTTTGAAATGCTTATTTCATTTTTATCACTGTAATTTTGATTAAGTTGATAATTAAAAATTTCAAGCATAAAAAAATCCTAAAAAATTTATATCCTTTTTGAAGATCTAATAAATTTAAAAGAATTAAAACAATTTAAACTGATACAGCATTGAAACCCTCTTTTTGAAAATAAACGATTAAATTACGCATTATTAAGAATTACGACTGCATTATTAAGAATTCGAGTAGAACAGCTGATGGCGAATTGAAGCCTACCCAGTTTCAGATTGATAGATACCAGTTTGTCTGGGATGTAAAGACGACTGGTATAGTAATGCTGACCACATTGCTGCTATCATGCTGTTGGTTACAAAATTGTGAAGTCTTAATCTCCACGACCCCTTTGGCCCATAATGGGCTGTTGTGAAAATGTTTTACTTTGTAGTCATGGAGAGTAAATTAGGTAGCTTCTACATCAGTGTGTTGGAAATAAAAATATATTCTATTTTTATTATAGGTTATTCAGGTATGAATACCAACAAATTTAGATTAGTTGACTCAGTTATTTTTGAAAATATATAAATAGATATATTCTAAAAACATGTGTCACTTAAAAATAATCTAATTATATTATAATGAAAATTTTAGATAATTATTAGATGAAAATCTTATACAAGTTTTGCATAAGTTAATTTAATTTTTACTTGAAACTATCAAGATAATATCACATCATGGTTGTCATTTAGCTATATATAAAATATAAAAACCAAATTTTCAGTAGAGTTAGTTTTTTTAAATTAAGATTTACAAAACTTAAAATAGTTCATACCTTTCCAATGATGATTATTTTCAAAG